GCCTGCGGCTCCTGCTGCTGCTGCGGCTGCGGCTGCTGCTGCTGCTGCTGCTGCCTCGCCTGTGTACGTAACTCCTGGTCCTGCTGTTGCAGCTGGTGTTCAAGCAGCTGGAGCTGCTGTTCTTGCTGCTGCAGCTGTTCTTCTTGCTGCTGCAGCTGCTCCTCCTGCTGCTGCAGCAGCTGGCCCTGCTGCTGCAGCTGCTGTTGTTGCTGTTGCACCTGCTGCAGCAGCAGCTCCTCTTTGCTGTGCTGTTCTTGCTGCTGCATTTCAGAGTCTCGCTGCTGCAGTTCCTGTTCTTGTTGCTGTAGCTGCTGCTCCTGCTGCTGCAGCTGCTTCTCCTGCTGCTGCAACTGTTGCTCCTGCTGCTGCAGCAGCTGCTGCTGCTGCTGGACTAGTTGCTTTTGCGTCTCTAGCTGTGCTTCGAGCTGCTGCATTTGCTGTTGCTGCTGTTCTTGCTGCTCTACCTTCTTGTCTTCAGCGGCAGCAAGCTGCTGCTGTTCACGTTCTCGCTGCCGCAGCACTTCGCGCTCCTCATCTAGTTGCTGCTGCTGCTGCTGTTGTTGCTGCTGCTGTTGCTGCAGAAGCAACTGCTGCCGTTTAACTTCTTGTGTTTGCTGCTGCAGCTCTGTTCTTTCCTGCTGCAGTTGGGCGCGTTGCTGCTGCACCTCCTGAAGCTGCTGCTGCAGCGCAGCTTCGCGTTCAGTCAGCTGCTGCTGCTGCTGCTGCAGTTCGTGACTCATCACCTGCTGCTGCTCCTTTGCATGTTCTGCTGCATCGGCTGCTGCAGCAGCTGCTGCAGCTTTACCTTGTTGCTGCAGCCTTTGTAGCGCCTGTTGCTCGGTTTGCTGCTGCTGCTGCAGCTGCTGCAACTGCTGCTCCCGCCGCAGCACTTCCTGGTGTAATTCATCCGCCTGCTGCTGCAGCAACTCTAACCTGTGCTCTTGCTGCTGCTGTTGCTGCTGCAGTTGTTCATGTTGCTGCTGCTGTTCGTGCTGCTGCTGCAGTTGTTCATGTTGCTGCCTCAGTTGCTGGTGTTGCTGCTGCAGTTGCTGGTGCTGGTGCTGCAGTTGCTCTTGTTCCTGCAGCACGTGTTGACGTTGCTGCTGCTGCTGCTGGTGCTGCTGCTGCAGCTGCTGGTGCTGCTGCTGCAGTTCATCATGCTGCTGCTGCAGCAGCGAGTACTGATGCGTTATTTCATTCAAGTGCTGCATTACTGTCTCTGCGCGCGACAGCAGCAAACTGTGTGTCTCCTTCATATCTTGCAGCTCGGCCTCCAGCTGCTGCTCCCGCTGCTGCTGCTGCTGCTGCTGCTGCTGCTGCTGCTGCTGCTGCTG